AGTAGAAATGTAGAACGGGTTGAGGTGAACATAAAAGTCCTATACCGTTTTACGATATTTACAATAATAACTGAGAAATTAATTGTAAAAGATTAAAAAGAAACGTGTGTATAGGGAATATGATAAAGAGAGTATGGGACACCCTATATATACTGTTTTTGGGATAACAAGTACTCCTTGAACAATTGTATTCGGGATATTATATCAGTATTTGAATTTCCATGTTATGATTTTTCGGGAAATTATTCCAGTTTCTGAATTTCGACATTTTGTTTTTTTCTTTAACAGTGCTATCAGTTTTAGTATTTTAAAGTTTGCTGAAATCTCTTTTTTCTCTCTTATATATGACAGATAGGATATTATTATTGAACTTGCAGTGGGTTAAAGAGGAAGAGGAGTCTTTTAAGTTTTGTATATAAAATGACACGTTTTTTCTTAGAGATAGATAGATAGATAGATCCTTCTCATCAATATGATTTTCAGTTCTTACAAAAATCACTTTGAATTTTTATTAAATGTCAATAAATAGTTTGATTTTATAGAATAATATATTATTGAACATATATTATTGAAATATATATATATATATATATATATATATATATATATTTCAATAATATATGTTCAATAATATATTATTCTATAAAATCAAACTATTTATTGACATTTAATAAAAATTCAAAGTGATTTTTGTAAGAACTGAAAATCATATTGATGAGAAGGATCTATCTATCTATCTATCTCTAAGAAAAAACGTGTCATTTTATATACAAAACTTAAAAGACTCCTCTTCCTCTTTAACCCACTGCAAGTTCAATAATAATATCCTATCTGTCATATATAAGAGAGAAAAAAGAGATTTCAGCAAACTTTAAAATACTAAAACTGATAGCACTGTTAAAGAAAAAAACAAAATGTCGAAATTCAGAAACTGGAATAATTTCCCGAAAAATCATAACATGGAAATTCAAATACTGATATAATATCCCGAATACAATTGTTCAAGGAGTACTTGTTATCCCAAAAACAGTATATATAGGGTGTCCCATACTCTCTTTATCATATTCCCTATACACACGTTTCTTTTTAATCTTTTACAATTAATTTCTCAGTTATTATTGTAAATATCGTAAAACGGTATAGGACTTTTATGTTCACCTCAACCCGTTCTACATTTCTACTTAATGTGATAAGGAGATTGTGGGACACCCTGTACACACAAATGTATTAATACCTACACTTAGTAACAGTATACACACATAATATCTACCCATTTTGTGCAGTCTTATATTCAAGTGAGTAGATACTAATAGCCTTAGATATTAATGGGGAGTTTTTTAATTTTTATATATAAAATGATACGTTTTTCTTAGAGAGATAGATAGAGATAGATAGATTCTTCTCATCAATATGACTTTCAGTTTTTATAAAAATCACTTTGAATCTTTATTAAATGTTAATAAATAGTACTACAAGAAAATTCTTATATATTGGTGAAATTGTATTTCGGAAGATAGTTTTGGTATTGCGACAATTTCAAGATATTGTCTCACTTTTTAAACTTCGGGTACATTTTTTCTCGTGACAATGCATATTCATCCACAACAATCAACTGAAAAAATATACAGGGTGTCTCACACTCTCCTCCGGGCATTTTGTGGGAACGTAGAACAGGTTGCGGTGAACATAAAAGTCCTATACCGTTTTGCGATATTCGCAATAATTATCGAGATATTAATTGTAGAAAATTTGTGAATGATCATGCAGAATATGGTAAATAAGTTATAATAGCGACGACTGCCGTCGTGTACTTATACTTTAGGTCAAATTGAACAAAAAAGTCCTCTACCATTTTCCAAATAATCACATAGATTTTTAATTATTAATTAAAGAAGATGAGTGCATTATCACGCAAAATCGTGCAATAATCTTCTTTTATGTTCACTGCAACCTGTTCTACGTTCCCACAAAATGCTCGGAGGAGAGTATGAGACACCCGTATACAAATGTTAAATATATGATTATACCATAATGCACAAATTTTCTTTAATTAATATCTAAAAATCTATGTGATTATTTACAAAATGGTAAAGGACTTTTTTTGTTCAGTTTAACTTAATGTATAAGTATACAACAGCAGACGGCGCCACTACAGCTCATCTACTATATTGCGCGTGATTATTCACCAATCTTTTTTAATTAATATCTCGACTATTATTGCAAATATCGCAAAACGGCACAGGACCGTCGGACCAACGGGATTTCTTGCTCACCTCAATTCGTTCTACGTTCTCACAAAGAGTCATCATGGAGGTCTGAGACACCCTGTATAATCATATAGTTTAGCAGTAATAGTATATAGGTAGCATTTTTAGTTATATAATTGTAACGTCAGATTTTCTAATCTATCAAATTAAGTAGCAGAAAAAGAATCGACGAGCAGTAAATACTTGAAATAAAAAAGAGGAGTTCTTAGAAGAAAAGGAAACTGTGATCGATGTTTTTCAACTTCATGTATCAAAGGTGAATCAGGATATCTCATGTCTACGTGTCGCGAATTTACGAGATATGTTTAATTTCAAAATTTTATTTTTTTGGGACAATGCTATCAATCTTTACAAATTTTTTTATCAGGTATATATTAAAAATTATATATTAAAAATAATGGCAGAGTTTTTTCTAGTATTTTAATGTTTTTAGTATTTTAATGTTTACATGTAACAGATAGATAGGGTACCATTATTGAATTTTAGGAACAAAGCGGAGAGCAGTCTTTTAATTTTTGTACATAAAATGACATATTTTTTCTTAGAGAGATAGATATTCCTCATTAATATGCTTTTTTGGTTTTTATAAAAATCATTTTTGAGCTTTAATGTCAACAAAATAGTTTGAATTTATAGAATAACATATTGAAGACCTTAGCAATAGCTATGTTATTATGTTAGGGAGATCTTCTTTTATTTAAATTTCTCCTCCGTTGTAAATAGCATCAACTATTATCTTTTGTTTTTCACATTATTTGTCCTCATATATTTTTATGTATGACTTTGTATCGCGATGTTTAAGACAGATTAACTTTTTTTTCATGTTATTTCAATGTAGTCATTTCATTTTTGTATTTTTCTGATGGTTGATGTTCTGATTATATGACCAATATAATGAACAGTTTTTTCTTTTTATTGCCTAATTTTTATTAAGCTCTTTATTTAATTATATTTAACTTTCCTTCATTTACTAATACTTGTTATCAGATATTAGCTTTTAATTTATTTAGCTTCTACCAAGTCCTACTAACGCGATTGTTTCAACGGGATTAAGTAAATATTAAATAAATGCAAAATAGGTACAATTGGTACCAGTTTGATTTTGCTGATTTGCTTTGGCTAATTAAAAAAAAGAGATTTTTAAAAACTCTGTAAAAAAAAGCTTTGGAACATCTTATATGATACGTCCTGTATATAATGCCTATAATATAGGCAATATATTAAACATTAATGTGATGTATAGCCGCATTTATTCAACTTAGAGCTATTCTTAACTTTGCTGATATAAGTTACATATGAAATTATCATATGATAATTAACAGATTAGCTATCTTCAGTGTCATATTGTGCCGCTTCTACGAATAATTGATCAGTCATGACATAAATATTTCAATATATTATATTGAAGTACTTTTTTGTCATAACTGATCAATTATTCGTAGAAGCGACGTAATATGACACTAAAGATAGATAATCTGTTGTCATGATAGTTTCATATGTAACTTATATCAGTAAAGTTAATCCTTAGTGACACTACATGAGTATTCCGGGTAGTCCGGACGGTTTCTATTCATAGAAATTTCTCAGCATGTTGAAGAGTCCCGGATTTTTTACTTCCTAAAAAATGCTAGGGGTAAGAGAAACTTGTGAGCGAAGGGGCGCCCAAAACCGTCAGTTCCTCTGCGACCAGCATCGTAGTAAGTTTTCGTTCGGCTTCAAAAGACCCACGTAGGGTCAAAACGTGTCTTGTTTGTGAAAAATGGAAAATCTATAAACATTCATAGTAAGTATTCTATTTGCATTCTACATTATTATCTGAATATTGTTTTATTAGTTATTATTTATTTAGTTAATTATTATTGTTTAGTTAGTTATTTCGTTAGTGAGTATTATAGCTAGTTATATATGTATGTAATATGTATTTCAAAAGAAATTCATTGATTTTAGAAACAATGGAAAAGTTACAGCGAGTTACAGCGTTACATCGCGTTACGAATATATGAGAAAGGCGATATTGAATTGTTTGGCGTTTGGATCAAGGAATTATCAACAGTAATATTCTGTATAATTTATGTAAGGACAATATAATGATAAAGAGACAGGAATTTATGGATATCCTGATAATGTCTTTGATAGCTCCGCATATGCACCACAGACTGCAGAAAGAAACATTACGGAAAGGGTTGCGCTTGTCAATATGCGCAAATCAATATACTGCAGATTGAAGAACCAAAACCAGAGATACGAGGAAAACTAGAAAAACGCAAAAGATATTATTTCTACAATATGAGCACTGACAGCAAAACGTGGCATGATAGCGTGTCCTGCGGAAAGCCGGGGTGAAGATCATTGGAATTATACATATATATATATATATATATATATATATATATATATATATATATATATATATATATATACCTTCTGTATAAAAAGTACCGGGAATCGTTAAAAAAAACACAGAATATTTTATTTATTCATCAAAATTTATTTTGTCGCCTTCAAAGTAATCCCCATCGTTTGCAATGCACATGTGAAAACGGCGAAACCAATCTTCCATGCACTTCTGGTAGGCCGATTCTGGTATGGCCTTCAGGACCCGCTGCGAATTCCTTTTGATGTCATCAATCGATGAAAAACGAGTACCACGGAGTGGCAATTTCAGTTTCGGGAAAAGAAAGAAGTCGCACGGTGCCAAATCAGGCGAATACGGTGGATGGTCGACAGAATTGACCGAGTTTTTGGCCTTGTAATCGGCCACAATCGTGGCTCTGTGCGCTGGCGCATTGTCATCGTGTAAAATCCACGAATTGTCTCGCCACAATTCGGGCCTTTTTCGCCGGATATCAGTGCGTCGGCACACGAAATTTCGTTTGCAACACAAAATTTGAGGCACACTCTTTGTTCGACTATTTTTTCCATGGTAAAATTCGCAGAGCAACACTGAGGTAGACTTGTTTGGACAGCTGCCATAAACAAACTAGTTGACTGATCGAGCTCAAGCTCCGGTTGGTAATGAAGGAAGGT